ATCCTTTCTTTCATCTCATCATGATCACCTTTGTAATTAATTTGATGTGAAAGAGAAATTCAGTACTGGATAAGTTAGACAGGCAGATCTGCCTGTATCAACTTGGACTGTCAAGGACACACTCACAAATTGTGAGATCGAGTGAAAAAGAAGCCAACGGGAACTGGAGAAAAGGCTTATTGGCTATATGTATTAATTCAGACTTTATGAGGTATAAGTCACCCCAAGTATTTCTACACCTTGGACATCTACTTCCTGTCCTAATGCAGTGATTCTTGATGCTGCATCTGTTATTGATTTGTTATTAGCTAGAATTAATCATATTTAATTTTAATAGGAATATGGAACAATAAGAAATATTTTAGCAAAATTATATATTGCATTCTATATATTTAACCAACAACTAACAGCTGCTGTGAAATCCCCTGTATAGCCCTGTACCAAGGCCGGAGGAATTGGTTAAAATCATCTAGTAGGAACATTTAGAACTCAGATAACAGATGTCAGAATTTCAAATTAATAGGAACTTAGGAACTTAAGAAAATGTATTATGTGTAACTAAAAGAGTTTGAGTATTGTCTGAAATCAGTTAACCACAGAAGCTTTGGTAAAGATTTACTTCGATCTAATTAACGAGAATTCCAATCAGTAGAGTTAAGTGAGATTAACCAATGATTGTTTTAGTATAAGAATATTGATAAGGTGGTGAGACTGAGGGCCAATCACTAGAAATATTAAATTCAAGAATTAACATTGAATGTACTTTATGTAAATCCAATACATGATGGTGAAAATCGTACTGCGCAGAATCACATGAAAGGTCAGCTATCGGACAAACTGAGGAAGACTATGGAAGACCACCAGAGACCTTCACTGCGCCTGCGTAAAGGACACTTACATATGCTAATAACTTCCCAGAAATCTAATGAATATGCATAACATTTTTCGGAAATCTAATGAATATGTATGAATAAGTTTAATATAAGGTGTATGATTTTGGTGTTCAGGGGTGCGTGGTTCGTGAGAGGACTCGCCCGCACACCCGGCCGTTAATAAAGAAGTGTCTGCTTATCTACACTAAATTGGTGTTGATAAGTTCTTTATTCCGAGTTTTTCGGTAACACATCTGGACCAAGACACATTTTCAGAAGGAAACAAAGGATATAAGTCTGTAAAAACACATGCAGGAATCATCTCTGTGACAAAAACATTGTTAAAGTAAATGCTAATAGTAGTAGAAAGAATGAGCGAAATCACACTTACCTTGTTCACTACTGAGACAAGAGACGTGGATAGAAGGGCTGCAGGTGATATGAGCTTTTATATGCTTCTTTAAGCCACCCTTTGTGACTCTGGTCCTAATTTGTTACAAAACAAATATGATGGTGGGAGCTTTAATTTTGCCACCTCAGCACTCTCCCTCCCAAATGTTAGTGTGGGTGGGATACAACTGCTGATGACAATCAGTCATCTCTGATTGTCATCTTAGGGGATTTGGGGAACTTGCAGCTGAAGGGTTGCCATACAGTCATTGACTGAAAGCCAGAACAAGAGTCGTACGTCATGTTAGTCCCATTTTAATGTTCAAGGTAGTACTTACATGGTGTGGAACCCTTTTTGGTGCCACATGCACAAACCAGGTCAAGGTCATCCAACATGACGTAGAAGTTTGGCTCTGAGAGGACACAAGTTGTCCTTGCAGTTGGCTTAGGGTCTACAAACGTTGTTATACAGCAGAGCAAAGAGCTGACACAATGCAGGCTCGCTCCTGATGGGGTATCACTATTGCTAATAACAGCATGAAAGGAGTAAGCCCTAGCAAAGTTTTTAGCTTGTGCTCTAAGCTTTTCATTTTACCTATAATCCAGGCAGGGAGATCTGTGTCTGATTTACTGCACCTGTCAAATAATACAGGGGAATGACATAGTCCCATCATCACTAGAAATATTAACTACAACCCAAGTGGACCTAGCATTGGTCCATTGAAACCTCTCCCAACATCCTTCTCTCAAGTCTTCTGAGACAATTCAGATGACACTAGGTTAACAGAGGAATGGTTGGGCTAAGTGACACCTCCAAAGAGGCAGAAAAGGCTTTATTGATATAGCCAGAACTGTTGACAAGGTCTCTGTCTAAAGCTAATACCAAACGATCCAAATTAAACTTTCATTCCACATTTTAAAGAGAG